TCGCAAGCCGGCAATCCAGGAAAAAAAGTAAGCCGGGTTGACAGAATAAAGGCTTGAAACGGAGTGAGGACCGAATACAGAACTGGCAGGTCACAACCAACGTTCCAAAACCCACGCTAGAAACACGTACCACCCAGGTTTAAAAGGATTTGAAATTGCACAACAAAGACGGCAGTTATCTTACCTCCATTATATCTTTTTTATGCCATTTAGAAATGTGGAAGGAAACAACCGCGAAGATCCCATCAGTGATGTGATCTGCGAAACTTCTGGCCATAATTTGTGCGAACAACAACATACATCGGTAAAAAAATTCAGATGAACGACTAATACAAAAGGGAGGAGCGTTGACTGCTGCGGCATAGTCATTTTCTAGGCTGGCCATCAGGTCGTCGGAGATTGTTTTTGGAGCTATTACAAAAATACCTTCCCAGTCGACATCCACATCAATTTCTTCAGCCAACTGAAGCGTTCCTATACGGTCACGTCTGTCCTCGCTTAAGTAGAGGGTGTAGATATTTAAAGGCAGTCAGGCGCTACCCGTATTGATTGCATGAACCATTCCTCTAATCAACCGAAACGGTCACGCCTGTCCTCCCTTTAAGGGAGGGGACAGGTATTTAAGGCAGTCAGGCGATACGCGTAAGTAAATGGATTGATTTCATGAACAGTTTTCGTAGTCACTCGTTGTACAAGTCGGAGAATGCCCCTTATCTTTCTGAAGCCATGGCCGCCGAGTCCGTACCGCATACTCCAGGTGCGGCCACACAAATGTTCTACATATCCTACCGAATATGTGTGCATCCAAGTTAACCCATCTCTTTTACATTATTCTGGCTGCCGGCTACCCGGCGCGTCCACAGATAGCGGATAACGTAACAGCCCTCAATGAATGTTTGCTGTGAAATCAACACTATCGGGTCTGGTTAATAATCAGTCTGGAAGCAGCAGGGACAGCGCTACCAACGTATGGCGGTATGAAATCTTACTCACTAAATCCTTATAAAAAGCACCAAACCCGAGAGCGGCACTGTGACACGGTGTCCGTGAACGCCTAGTAAATTAGCTCGGTTGCCAAAGCTGCCTTGCGATTAGGTTTCTGAGCCAAAATTGTAGAGGAGACAACTTCAAACAAACAATTCGACCAGTTGTAGGGGTTCCGTTTGTACTCACAATAACCAAGAAACCGCAATATGGTTGATTACGGTACTACGATCCAGTACAGTACAGAACGATTCATGCTACAGCGTCCGCGATAGCTGACTTGCTCTAAAACTCTGGTCCAGTGGTGCGTGTGAATACTATGCGAACTAGACTACTCAGTCGCGAACGGACCCTTCGTATTGGCGACTTGAGTGCGTGAAGAGTCCTGGAACGCGG